GGTCTCAAGGATTGAGCTCGGGTTGGTCTTGTGCAGGAACCTGGCCTTTGCCAGTAGTTCTTGCACATGCACACACGCGCTAAGCATCCTTTTGCTATTATGCACCTCTTTGGAGTGAGGGTAGAGCGCAGACAGCAATATCAGTCAGGCAAGACCATTGATTGAATATGATGTGGTCAATTTCATTGTGGAATCATCCACTGGGAGACTCCCATATCCAACGTTTAGATTTGGCCTTCTGCAATTGTGAGTTACCATCGATGGTCTTGGTTGACATGATGAACTTGGACAGCCTTTCACCCTGTTCGTTCCATTCTAGTCCATTTGTCTTGATGTAGAGTTCTTTGGCTGATCTTCTTGGTCCTATCTTGGTACTAAAATCACTGACAATGATCTCGTAGAAGGTGTGGTGGTCTTTATAGAACTTCTCCAGCCACACCTATTTAAGTGTAATTGTCCTATTCGGATTGTTAGGCATTCAAATGAATCAATGTTTATGGCCAAGTTTGTGTTGACAAGGACAAGGACACCACCGATGCCTCTTTTGTCACATGTTCCGAGGAACAGCTCTTCCCCAGTGTCAAAAATGGCATGATGTAATTGATGCTTTCTCATCTCGGTCAGACCAATGATGTTGTACTTGGTTTTTCGCGCCTGCACCATCAGGTCCTCGATGCATCTGATGCCAGCATACGTGCACTGAAAGTACAGACAGTCATTTTTGTCCTTCTTCGTTTTGGCAGCCTATTTTGGCCCTGAGATTTTATCAGCCCAGCCTCTTCTTCCTCATCCTTTGATATGTGCCAGTTTTGTAGGGTAAAGTGCTATCTCATTGTTTTGATTTCCATTCCCATTATGATTACTTATGTATAGCATTTTTTCATATGCTTTTTGATCATTTGTATGTCTTTGAAGAAGTTTCGGTTTATCTCTTCTCTCCATTTTTTTATGGGGTTGGATTTTTCCCATGTTTCTATCAGTGTTTATATGCATCTTGGATATTAACAATTTATCAAATGAATGATGGTCATTTATCTTCCAGTTTGAGAGGAATCTTTGTGTTTTTGTAACAGTTTCCATTGAGATAAGTTGTTTTGATATTGTCCTGTTTATCTGTGATTTTATTTGCTTGGCCTGTGGCAGTTGGCTCCTTAAAGATACCTCTAGCTTCAAGTGTCCGTAAGTGTTCTTCTGCCTATGTTTTTTTGGGTATTGAGGTACTTAACCATTTTGATTTGACTTTTGTACATGGTATTAGAAAAGGTTCTGATTTCTTTCTTTTTTTTTTTTTTGCATTGACCAACTAGTTTTCCCAGCACCATTTGTGGAAGAAGTTCTCATGCTCCACCTCAGATGTTTTGCTTATTTACTCAAGATTAGCTGTCCATATACCTGAGGATCTGTTCCTGGGTTTTCAGTTCTATTTCACTGGTCTTAAAGTCTGTTTATTATTTTACATACCAAGCTCTGTGGTATTATTCTAATACCACACTGCTTTAATTACTACAGCTTTGCAGTATAGTTGAGATTGGGCAGAGTGATTCCTCCAGTTTTCTTTTTCCCTAGGATTGCTTTGGCTATTTTTGGTAGGGATTTGTCAGTCCATATAAATGTCAGGAACATACAAGTTGCATTTTTTATAAAGAAGTGAATCTGTATAATGATTTATTGAATCATACAATTTCATTGAATCTGTATAATGCTTTGGAGGATTATTGCCATCTTGGCTATGTTAATCCTTCTGGCCTATGAACAGATTGTATTCTCACTGGTGTGAGATGGTATGTGTCCTTGTTGTCTTGATTTGGATTTCTCTGATAAGTGATGCTGAGCATTTTTTTTATTTGCCTACTGCTCAACCACCTATCTTCCTTTGAGAGGTGTCTATTCACTAGCCTTCTGCTTTATCATTCAATTCTCTTGTTTCTAGGAGGGTTTTTTTTTAGGTAGTGTTCAGAGCTTTTAAGTACAGTACCATGTAATTTGCAAATCAAGAGAGCTTGACTTTTTATCTGGTTACCTTATTATCTTCTTGCGTGATTACTATGGCATGGACTTCCAGTACAATATTGAATAGAAATTGTGAGAAAGCCCATCCTTTTCTTGTGCCTCATCTGAAAGGGAAGGCTTTTAGTTTTCCTCCATGCAGTACTATGCTTTCTTTGGATTTGTGTTAAATGGTTTTAACTATATTGAGGGAAGTTTCTCCAACTCCATTTTTATATTGAGAGTTTTTAATCATTAATGGATGTTGGATTTTGTCAAATGTGTTCCCTGCATCTATTGATAGGTTCATATAATCTTTATTTTTCAGGCTATTGGTTTGTAGTTTCCCTTTTTTGTGATGTCTCTGACTACTTTTGGTATCAGGGTGATTGTTGATTGCCCTGTGGAAACAAAATAGCAGGATTTTGCTGCTGGACAGGATGGGAGATCTAAAAGAGCTCCTCACTCCTTTGACCTTTCTAAGCTATTACACAAATTCTGGAGCTTTTTCTACAGGGATCTAAGCAGATAACATCCTCTTCTATGCCTGGTGAAGGCTGTTCGTGGACACATGAACCCATTTCATTGGGGAGCAAATGCCCTGCTTGCCTCATTTCCTGCTGCAGACCCGTTTTCCAGACCTCACAGTTCCGTGGATTCACTCGCTGCTCTCAAGGTTCCTGCTTCTCCAGCACCAATGCTCAGGTCTCTTGGCCACATGCGCTCATCCAAACACTCATATAGGCTTTTCTTGGTAAGTGTTTTGTCTAATATTACTGTGGTTACATTTGTGGCTCCTTTTTGGCTATTATTTGCATGGGAAATCTTTTTTTTTTAAATTTTTATTAGTGAAACACCATGAGGTACAGTTGTAGACTTACAAATTTTTGTGCTTGGATTTTATTTTTTTTCTAAGTAACCTTTTTTATTTTTTTAAAATTTTTTAGAAGAACATTATTTATTTATTTATTTATTTTCATAAGTTTTGATGACAATGTAATTTTTTTTTATAGTGAGATATCATGAGGTACAGTTGCAGACTTACACATTTTTGTGCTTGGGTTTCAGTTATACAATGATCAAGTACCCATCCGTCCACCAGTGCCCATTCTCCACCACCACTGATCCCGGTATCCCTCCCACCCCCCTTTTCCCCCATCCCACCTTGCTTCTGTGGTAGGGCATTCCCTTTTGTTCTCTCTCTCCTTTTGGGTGCTGTGGTCTGCAAAAGAGGCATTGAGTGGCAATCATGTTTGGTCTATAGTCCACTTTCAGCATAATTCTCCCATCATGGGAAATCTTTTTCCATTTTTTTGACCTTTGTGTGTCTCTAGAGCTGGAGAATTTCTTGTAGACTATATAAAGTAGGTTACTGGCTTTTGTGTGTTTTTAAAAATGTATTTGGCCATTTATGTTTTTTTATGGGGAAGAGTAAACTTTTATTCAAAGTAATTGCCACTGGGGACAGAGTCAGTATTGCCCTTAAAAAATAATCCTCTGTCCAGAGCAATGACTCAGATCGCTTGAGAGCATGTTTTGCCATGGATCTTCTGTGCTGGATCCCTGACACTGCTTGGCCCCCCAAGGTCCACAGGAAGTCCCCAAGCAAATAACTGGGAGTCACTCTCAGGTACCACTGAGAATGGCCCAAATATCAGAAAGGGAAAAATGTTATTTATGTCTTACTTTTCTTGGGTTTTGTATTTTTCTTATTGCCTTTGTTTTCTGTAGGTGTATGTTAGCATAGTGTGAATCCCTTATTTTATTCTGTAAATACATTATAGTTTTTTGTTTGTTTGTTTCACAGATAAAGTATTTTCTAGTGTTATGGTGACATGGTTCACCTGAAGTCGGCTTCAATCACAATTTGTTTCTTTAGTGCTTGACTTCCCAACGCTGTTATGGATGTAACAATATATTGAGAGCACTATTATACAATACATTTCTGATAGCTGCTGCCACAGAAATTAAGCAAGAAAAAAAATTTAAATTAGTGTTCAAATTGGCAAAGAAATCAAATTCACTGTTTACAAATGACATCAAGAACCCTAAAACTGCAAAACCAATCATTAATTAAACACTCCTAGAAGCAACAAATCTTTACAGTAAAGTAGCAGCTTACGAAAGCAAACAGGAAAATCTTTTGTGATTTTATATGTAAACAATGATAAAAGAGTAATTTAATTTAAAAATCCTGCTTATAGTTATGAAAAAAATTAGGTAATGTGGAATCAATTTTTAGAAAGGACGTGAAAGATTTACTTATTAAAATCTGTAAAGCACTGTTAGGAATTTCGTATGTAGGAACACAAAAAGGCTCCTCTGAAAAACTCCTCAAAACAATATATTTATAAAGTAAAGTAGCAGGCTACAAAACCAGTGCACAGGATTCTAATTTATTCTTACATGTAAACAAACAAACAACAAAAAAAAAACCACCCCAAATCCAGAATAGAAATAAACCCAATTGCAATCATGTAAAAAACAGAAACCCCTTAGTTTAACAAAGGAGGTAAAAGACCTATTTAGCGAAAACTGCAAAACTTCTGAAAGGAATTTAAAATGAACTAATGTAATAGAAACATATTCTTGGTTTAAGGATCATAAGAATCGGCATCTTGAAAATGACTATCTTAACTCAAAGCAGTTTACAGAAACAGCAAATTCCGATAAAATTTCCATGGCATTATTCAAGGACATGGAGTAAATTTTTCTAAAATTTGCCTTTAGCTACAAAACTCCTGACATAGCCAAAGCAATCTTGAGGAAAAATGGGAGGCATTGTGTCCCCAGACTTTAAAATCTGACACAAAACTTTAGCAATCAAAATTGCTTGGTACCGGAAGAAAAAAAGTCTCTTCTCAATGGCATAGGATTGAGAGGTCAGGGAGAAACCCTCAAATGCATGAGCAATTTATTTATGAAGAAGTGCATGAATTGGAGCAAGGAAACCTCTTTAGCCAATGATTATGGGAAAGGCTAGATAGTCACAATTAAAAAAAAAATGAAATTAGGTGCAAGCCTTCATCATACTTGGGTCTGGAGTGACCCTGTGCTTTCCCATAGTGCTTGCAATTATGAAACGGTTTGAGATCTTGACCTGCTCCATACAGAGTAAGGTGTTAGAAATCTCAGACAATCGTGAAAAATAAGAAAAAGAATTAAACAGAAGCAATAAGGGAAAAATAGACCCCTCTTTCACCCTGTAAACAAAAATCAACTCAAATAAATTAAAATTGTTATATTGCACTTGAATCTTGAAAAATCCATTGGGGAAACATAGGCAAGACTCTCCAAAATCATGACCACAGTGAAGTCTGAAATGCAAGAACTCAAGTGGCAAAGGTAATAAAAACAGAAACGGAACTATATTAAACTAGGACACTTCTGCATTCTGTGAGCAATGTGCACTACAATTAAAAGACATTCTGCTGATTGAAAGGATTTTGAGACCATACGCAAGATAAAGGACTAATATCCAAGATACATAAAGCGCTCTTAAAGCTCTCCATCAGAAAAACTGATTCAAAAGCAACAAAATGGGAGACTAACACCCATGAATGGCTGAGATTAGTACCAGGAATTTTGCTCCATGACTTGAAGGCCAGCCACACGTGCTAGGTGAAAAGGAAGCTCAGATAGAGAAGAGAGCACCAAATAAAGGGTGTTGTGAGGACCCTCCCAGGGTGGGAGAAGCATGCTAAAAGTAGTCTATAGACCAAACATGATTGCCACTCAATGCCTCTCGTGCAAAACACAGTACCCAAAAGAAGAGAGAGAAAACAAGGGGGACTACCCTGCCACAGAGGCAGGGTGGGACGGGGGGGGGGGGGGGGGATGGGAGGGGTGCTGGGACCCCTGGTGGGGGATGGTGGGCACTGGTGGAGGGATGGGTACTTGATCATTGTATAACTGAAACCCAAGCACAAAATTTGAAAGTCTATAACTGTACCTCATGGTGTTTCACTAATAAAAAAATAAAAATAAAAAAAATTAACAAAAAGAGAGAAAAAAAAACGATTCAAAAATGTGGAAAGGAAAGGAATGACATGGTCTCAAGATGCGAAATTGACCCAGAGGCAAAGGAAATTCGTCATCATTGATTGTAAGGGAAATACAAATCAAAGTGAAAATAAAATATCACTCACATGGGGACTCACAAATGTGTAACACAAAGCCAGAAATGAGTAAGTGCCAGTGGGCGTGTGCCAGATAGGAACCTCATTTTTCATTGGAGAGACTGTGGTTTGGCTCAGCCTGAAGGACATCTCCACACCTGTACTCATCACAGCATTGTTGACTGCAGCCAGGATCTGGAAACAACGCAAGTGCCCACAAGAGATGAGTGGATAAAGAGCTTGTACAAACACACGTGCAATACCGCTCAACTGTGAGAAGAGGTGAAAGCGTCACCTGGATGAAACTTGGATGGAATTGGAAGCTGTTATAATAAGTGAGCTGAGAAGAAAAAGACAAATGTCAAATGATCGTCCTCATGTGGAGGATGAAGAAGCAAAGTAAGTGTATTTGACAGTCACCAGTGGGAATGAACCCTGAGATGTGATTGTGATAGAACAGGGAATTGAGGGAAAACATTTGTGGGTGGGCTTTATTTAAGCCATACCTGGGCGTGCTCAGGACTTACTCCTGTCTCTGTGCTCAGGGCTCAGTTCTGATGATGTTCAGGGTGCTGAGGATCAAGTCTGGCTACATGCTCAATGAGAGTACTCTGCCTGCTGCACTACCTGATATTTTGCTATTTTGTGCCTAGTATTCATTTGTCCTAGTGAATTTTTAGGCTCAATTCATTTTTACAAAGTAATTTATTTAACCTCTCGGAGAGCCCGGCAAGCTACCGAGAGTATCCGATATGCCAGACACAGTAACAACAAAGTCTCCAATGGAGACGTTACTGGGCCCGCTCGAGCAAATCGACGATCAACGGGAGGGCCTTTACCTTTACCTTTTTAATTTATTTAAAGAAACTCTCTTAGAAAAATGGGAAACATATGAAATATGAGAAACTAGTCAATTGCTGATAATTTGCCTAGTTTGTGCCTGCTGTTAATTTGTTCTAGTGAATTTCAAGCTCAGTTCTGTTTTATGAAGTAACTAGTTTATTTAAAGATGTTTTCTTAGAGAAATATGATAAATATCTGAAACATAAGAAATTTAATCTATTTTTTGTTTTGATAGATTTCCTTTTTTTAATAATCCCAAGAAATGACTGACATGTGTATCTCAAGAAGATTTTACGTTATATATAAGATTTTGGTTCAATCAAATACAGGACACCATGCATGACTAGGTAGTTAGTATTTCTATAAACCTTTTCCCTTAATTATATTGTAAATATTAATCTCCTTGAATTTTGTAAATTTAATTTTTATGAGTTATAATTATATGTTGTAATGATAATATATACATATATATTTATTAGTGATATACCATGTACAGTTACATGGTAACTAGTTTGTAAATAGACTTACAAACTTTCATATTTGGGTTTCAGTTATACAATGATCAAGTACCCATCCATCCACTAGTGCCCATCCATTCTCCACCAATGAACCCAGTAGCCTGCCCACTACCACACCCCCACCCCACCCAACCTCTATGGCAGGGCATTCCCTCTTTCTCTCTCTTTCCTTTAGGTTGTTGGGGTTTGCAATAGAGGTATTGAGTGGCCATCATGTTCGGTCTGTAGTCTACTTTCAGCCTTTAGCACGCATCTTGCATCCCCAGCAAGTCCTCCAAACACCCTTTACTTGGTGTTCCCCTTTCTGTCTGAACTGCCTTTTCCCCCCGGCATATGCTGCCAGCTTCCAAGACGTGGAGCAGTCCTCCCCATCCCATATGGTCCCCTGAGCACCGCCAGGAGTAACTCCTGAGTGCAGATCCAGGAGTAACCCCTGTGTATCACCAGGTGTGACCCAAAAAGCAAAAAAAAAAATTTTTTTTAAAAATTAAAGTTGGTCGTATATTCATTGTGTGAATTAATGTTGAAAGCTATGTTTATTCTCGGAATTTCTTTCAAAGCAAATGGCCATAATAATATACCTATCTCTGTAATATTCCTTTAATGTTATTGAGCATTATCGGAAACAATTGTTTTTACATAAATCTGAGTTGCATAACTTAAAAATGTTGTTAGTTCAGTGTATTCTTTGTTAAAAGTCTAAGAAATTATATATATATTATTAGGTATTTAAAGTTACTTGAAAACCAAAATGTCCAATCTCAGTTTCTTAGGTTTCTGACAGCTCTTTCTGCAGTCTGAGGTTCCATGTGGTAGAGAGGAGTAGGGGTTAAGGAGTCCAGGCGAGGCACCATTATTTCTGCTTTTAATACCTGCTCCTATTTTCTGGGTTTTCAGACAGCATATACGCTTTCTTGTTTTCTAAAAGTTTTCTGTGAATAATGCCATAATCTATCCACATAACTAATCTGATGATTGCAATTTGTTACTAAAGATGCAGTTTTATTTATTTTATAATGTCATGACAATACTGAGTAAGTTTCACATTATATTAATGTGTTTGATTTTTAAGGTGACATTGAACTTTATTGACTTAAACATCCTTTTTAATACATATATAGGTTAACTTGATCTTATAATCCTATGGATAAACTTTTATACTCAACCATTTGGAGCTGCATTGGAAGACATTTGGTCATAGTGCCTTCTTCTACTAGGTCAGTTATTAAGCACTTTCTCCTTTATGTTGATGAAATAATCCTCTATATTTGGCAGTTTGTTCAGAATTCTGGTTAAATTTTCTGAAATATTTTATATGTAAAATTTGTATTTGGGGGCTGGAGCGATAGTACAGTGGATAGGGTGTTGGATTCCCAGCATCCCATATGATTCCCTGAGCACTGTCAGAAGTGATTCCTGAGTGCATGAGCCAGGAGTAACCCCTGTGCATCGCTGGGTGTGACCTAAAAAAAGCAAAATAAATAAATAAATAAAATTTGTATTTGGTAATAATATTTGCTTAAAGTTATTGTACACTTAAAATTTGAAATATTTTCAATATGCTTTGTATACTACATATTTACATTGAAAACAATTCACTTTATTTTAATGTTTAGTATAGAGCTAAACCATAATCCTATAAAAGATGAAAAACCAAGGATGTGGAATTAAAGAAGAATAGGAAAAGCAAAACAAAAATTAGCAAATACAAGTGAGAAAACAATAAAGATTAGTAATAAGAAAAATAGGAGAGATTTAAATACTTCACTAAAATATAATTTTACTTTGGTGACACTGTGACTGCAAAACATGTGGTAGAATCTTAATATAGCAATTACTTTTTAAAGCTATTTTTGTAGGGCTGCTTTATGAAATTTTTATACCATCATATTTAATAGTAAATAATAAAATAATAAATTAGTATTAGTGTACAATCATATTTAATAGTTTGCTTTTATGCATGTATTCATCCATGCTTGTAACTATAGAAAAGATTTCTTTTAGCTTCCATGAGATTTACATAGAAACGTTTATTGTAGAGGACTGAGCTCACCCTGCTGGTGAAATAGACCATGTACACATTCAGTCTCCATCACCAGACAACTGAATGGCAGCAGTCATTTGACAAAATGCTGCTGTTTTCTCCAATATCCGAATACAGTGTGGTGTGCTTTTTCTCTTCAGCATTTCTTATCTGCATGCATTCCTTAAAGCTATACTTTTATTCAAATTATTTATCAGACTATTTGAAGTGTGCTTCCACTTATAAAAGTTATATTTGAGTTTTGAGAGGAGTTCATTTGACCTTTTTTTTTGTACTTAAAACAATATTAATTTGAGGCTGGAGCCGCAAATTAACCCGCATAGCGGGTAGGGCATTTGCCTTGCTCACGGCCAACCTGGCTTCGGTCGCCAGCATGCCATATGGTCCCCTGAGCACCATCAGGAGTAACTCCTGGGTGCATAGCCAGGAGTAATACCTGTGCATCGCTAGGTATGCCCCCCCGCCAAAAAAAGAAGTAATATTAATTTTAGGTAGCACTGTAGCACTGTAGCAATGTCCACCAGTTGTCCATTGATTTGCCCGAGCGGGCCCAGTAATGTCTCCATTGTGACACTTGTTACTGTGTTTGGCATATCAAATAGGCCACGGGTAGCTTGC